AGGAGGCTAAGACAGGAGGATCACAAATTTAAGGCCAGCTTCAGCAACTAAGTTAAGACCCTGTCTAAAAAATAAAAAAATTAGGGGTGGGGTTGTAGTTCAGTTGGTAGAGTGCTTGGCTAGCATGTGTGAGGCACTGGGTTCGAACCTCAGCACCACATACAGGTATTGTGTCCATCTATTATAAAAAAAAAAAAAAAATGTTAAAAAAAAATTTAAAAGGGCTGGATATAGAGCTCAGCAGTAGAACACCCCTGGGGTTCAATTCCCAGTTCTGTAAAATATAAAAATAAAAAAACAAAGTATATAAGAAAGGAACTAGATTCAATTCCCATACCACAAAATAATAAATAAAGCATTCAGAAGGATATGTGGAAGTTATATATAAATACCCTATCATTTAAAATAAGGAACTTGAATTAGTATACTAGGTCTGTCTTGGAATGGGATTCTGACATATATCCCAAAAAACACAGTATTTTTTAACTAAAATGAGCAGACACAAAGATTACCTAGTACACAAGGAAAGTAGACTTCACAAACAATAACCAACAGAAACAACAGATATCAGAAAGAAGCTCCTGTTTTTTTGGAGGAGTTTTGCTAAATTGCCCAGACTGGCCTCAATCTCTCAATCCTAAACCTTCCAAGCGGCTAGGATTATAGGTGGGCACCACTAGGCCCAGAAACAAACAGATTCATAAAGACTTCAGAGATTTAAATTAAACAGAATACAAAGTGACAATGCTTAATATACTTAAAGAGGTTGTCATCCTAAATAACAAACAGAAAAAGACTCTCCAAAGATTAATAAATTTATTCAAGACAGAAGAGCCTGCAATGGGAAGATGTGTGACATGGTAAATGTCATATGAGCATACTCAAAGAGATCTAGAAAGAGCTAGGAATGCAGCTCAGTGGTTATGTGCTGGCCCAGCATGCTTGAGGACCTGAGTTTAATTCCTAGGACTGTCAAAATTAATTAATTAATTAATTAATTAATTAAATTTAATGCCTAGGTTGATTGGAAAACAGGATGAGGCAAGGGGGAGATTTTAAAGGCAAAATAAGGAGGGTTCTGGATCAACTATTCTTGGTTACAAGGATCAATAGCAAGGGTGGCATCAGTCTAAGGTTGGACAGATGTTCTCACAGAAGTATTTTCTGTGTAAGGTTGTGGTGGCCTTCCTGCAAGGTTGTGATTCTCGAAGTCTTTTGTGATAGTTTTTGTTTTCAAACGTATGTACATGAGATCCCCTCGTTCATAACCTCTTGGCTTTATTTTTCTGTTATTGACAGGGCTTGATACAAGTGACTCCACTGTGATTCTGATAATTTTCACAGAGTAAAGACAAGTTTAAAAATAATTGTAGAGAGAGTTGGAGATATAGCTTAGTTGGTAGAATGCTTGCCTTGCATGCACTGGGTTCAATCCCTAGCACCAAAAATAAAATAAAATAGCTGTAGAGAAAGATATGAAAAAGTTAAATGTTTTTTTTTTTTAAATAAGTAGAACATATGGAAATTAAAATTGCAAAAACAAAGGACTTAAAATCAAGGGAAGGTTTAACAACAGATCAAACAGTTAAAGGGAACTAGTGAACTGTTAGATAGGTCAGGGAAAAAAGCACTCATGAGAAAGCAGAGGCAAAAATGAAAGAAGAGATAGTAAAAAAAATAATAAATAAAGGCTAAAACGAGAAGGTTTAAATACATTTAATCAGATATCAGAAGGAAAGTAAAGAGGGCTTGGGGCAAATGCAATCTCTGAAAAGGTAACAGATGAAATTTTCAAGAAATGATAAAAAATACCAAACCACTGTTTCAAGAAGTCCAATGAAATACTATTTGGCCATTAAAAAGAATGAAATTTTGTAATTTGTGGCAACATAGATAAGCCTAGAGGATGTTATGCTAAGTGAAATAAGCCAGGCACAGAGGAAAATCAAATCAGGCATGACCTCATTCATTTGGGTTTCACAAAAGTTGATCTCATAGAACTGGAAAACAGAAAGTTGGTTACCAGAGTGGGGTGGGGAGCGGGGCTGAGGAGAGGCTGGACAACATGTACAAAGCTACGGACAGTAGGAATAAGTTCTCATATTTTCCTGCACAGTAGAGTAACTATGGTTCACTAATAATATTAGGTATTCATATTAATGTACTATACAATGTATTATTCAAAATAGCCAGAAGAAAAGGATTTTGATAATGCTTGAGGTGATGGATATGCTAATTACTCAAGTTTGATTGTTACCCATTGTAAACATAATGAAATATCACACATATTATGAAATGTGCCCAATAAATGTGTAATTACTATGGACCAATTAAAAAATAAAATAAATCCATCCAGATAAATAAGAAATTTACATTTAAACACACGGTAGTTAACTGCAGAAAATCTAGATAAAAATAAAATTTTAAAAACTAGCAGTGGGAAGTGGTAATGGTGAAAATGGTGAAATAGAATGCCATAGAATAAAAATAAAGGGCCAGAAGCAGTGGCTCACACCTGTAACTACAGCTAGTTGGGAGGCTGAGGGAGGAGGATAAGAAGCTTGACACCAGCCTGGACAACTTGGAAAGACCTCTCAAAAATAAAACATAGAAAGGGCTAGGGATATTGCTCAGTTTGCACCCCTGGGTTCAATCCCCAATATGGGGATAAAGAGGGTTATGTAAAAGGGCTCTGACCATTTGAATTAATGAACTCCATTAGTCATTTAATTCAGTATACTCGGCCTTCCTCCAAAAGGAATTCAAGGCAGCTTACTAAGAATCATATAATGCAATCCAACAGAATAAATATAAAATAAGAATAAATGAATAAGTAAAGCAATGATAAACAGAAGAGGAAAGTAAGCTGGATATAGCACTGAGATTCATTCCCAAAATGCATGTTACAAATTCCTACTTGCTTGCTTGGGCTAGGGGGTAGACCACAAATTTCGCTTTATGAATTTTAGTGACCACACAAATGGAAACAATCAAACAAGATTTAAAGGGCTGAGGATGTGGTTCACTGGCAGAGTGCTTGCCTAGCACACATCAAGCCCTGGGTTCAATCCTAGCACCACAAAAATTAAAATAAAAGAGATTTTTCAGTTAAAAAAGAAAAAAACAAGTATTTAGGGAAAACTATTCCTTTTTTTTTTTTTTTAGTACCAGGGATTGAACCCAGGGAATCACATCCCCAGCCCTTTTTTATATTTTATTTAGAGACAGGATCTCGCTGAGTTGCTGAGGATGGCTTTGAATTTGCAATTCTCCTGCCTCAGCCTCCCAAGCTGCTGGGATTACAGGCGTGCACCACTGTGCCCAGCCAGGGAGAACTATTCCTACAGGAGTCAGTTTTGATAATAAACAACATCTGGAATGTCCTTGTAACAACACAATGACATTTTAAGGGACCAAAGTATATAATTTTGCAAAAAATAACTTTTTGGGAAAAAACTAAGAAAAGCAATTATGATGCAACCCAGGCAGGTGGCTCCATCCAGAACAAAGATTTTAGGGGAATGAATGGCCTGCGTACACTTTAGAAAACCTTTCATATGTAAGTTTTTGTCTCAGTCAAGTTTCTGAAAGGAGTGACTTAATTTAAGAGTCTTTTCCTGAGAAGTGCTTGGGCATAGATATCCTAAAATAAGTACAGAGTCACATACTGAATTATCACATAAGCAGGGGAAGAATTACAGGCTCCTGTGAAAACTGAGAAGTCCAACATCACTCCATCTCAACTCAGAAGAGAGATCCAGCATATTCTTTAACTAGTCTTGGTACTCTACAAAGTTCCTCTACACTTGAGAGGTGGTATTAATTGAAAAAATTAAATAAGACTCAGCTGAGAGTCATACATAGTAAAGGAAAAATCAAAAGGACTTGGTACAATTGATAAGGATGGCAGAAAGAGTCAAAGAATTCTGAATGAGGGAGAACAGTAGTATCACAACAAAAAAAATTAGGCAGACAATAGAAGAAAACAGAACAGTTCTGTTTTACATGAAATGTTTGAGTTTAAATACCCAAATGGAAATGTCTAAAGGAAAGGCAGGATTAAAGTTCAGGAAAGGTGTATGAGATAAGACAAGAGAAACTGAAGTCCCTGAGTAGTTATAATTCCCAAATACCAAAATTCCTTTTCCACAAAACACTGCCCCAAGGGAAACTAGAGAACTAGATCCTACAACAAGATATATCATCTGAAAGAAGTACACAGGTGCAATACAAAAAACAGGTTATATTTCAAAGTGATCCCATGCACAGAGAGGATACTCAATTCAGCTACAGAGAGCCTGATTCAGCAAGTAAAATGTACATATCTATCTCTCATCACTAGAAATTAGAACAAAATTAGACCATCTGGCTTACATACAGAAAATAGTGGAATTTTTAAATAAAGTAAATGGCACATATTCCCCATTTTATATTTAAGAACATAGGTACTACTTAGAATTTATTTAAAATTATTAGGTTGAGTTCTAAGATTTCATTATATGTTTGTAACTTTCCATAAAAGTTTTTTTAATTAAAAAAAAAAATCCCTGGGCTGGGGTTGTGGCTCAGTGGTAGAGCGCTCGCCTAGCATGTGCAAGGCCCTGGGTTCAATTCTCAGCACCACATAAAAATAAATAAGTAAAATAAAGGTATTGTGTCCAACTACAACTAAAAAATAAATATTAAAAAAATAATATAAAATAAATTTTTTTTAAATCTCTAAGAATTTAAAAGACTTATCAGGAGCAAAGATATAGCTTTGTGTCTCTGAGCAATAAAGCCAACTTTCATGTGACAGAAGAGGCAAGAAGGGCATAGTAGTTTCTTCCTCCAAAGAAAGGCATGATTAAAGATGCCCAAAAGGCTTCCCAACTTCTAGAAAGAAAAGGGCAGAGCATTAAGTGATGCAGATCGCAGATACACAGTTGGATACAAGTTAAATTTAGGGATTGTGGCAGCTTAAAAATAAACCGACAAGGAAAGTGAAAACATAAACTTACTCTTTTCAATGAGCTGGTCCTGAACTCCTGCCAATGCACTTACTGCCTAAAAGAAAAGCCACCAGTTATTAGAAAAGTGACCACAGACCTCAGGAGAGCATTTCCATATAGATAGGAAGGGAAAGAGAAAACTCACCTTCCTTAACTACATACCACAGAAAACACACACTGCCCCCCAAGCCACCACCACCACCACTTACAGCTGCCGACGTAACTGAGGATTTACTGAAGAGCCGCTCAGCTTCCTTAAACTTCCGATTCCTTCTATCATTTTTGCTATTGGAGTTTCTAAAAGCACACAAAAGAAATTCATTATAAGCATCAAATTAAGTCCATGGCTCAAGTTGGGGATGTCCAGGGCAAATATAAAAAGACTTTTTTTTTTTTTAATCAAGTTCCTTACAGGAATGCCTCCAATCCTTTTGGATTGGCCCAAACAATTATTATGTTGAATGCCTAAGTAGATAGCAATGTTTCCCAACGTATGGTATATGCCTCACTATGGGAAGAGAGATTATTTTAGTTGCTTCACAAATATTTTCATTTTATCTATCTATCTATCTATCTATCTTTTAAGGGGCTCAGAGGCCTGGAGCACATTTATCATCAAAATACAGTGTACTAATGCCCGGCCAATATGTGGTTGGTGGGCACCAGGTGCCCACCCAGCCCAAACCCCTCTCCCCATTTTACTTTAGTATTTATTTAAATGTTTATTAGTAAAAATAACCAGCACAGCTAGGCACTGTGGTACATGCCTGTAATCCCAGCAATTTGGGAGGCTGAGTCAGGAGGATTGAAAGTCTGAGACCAAACTCAGCAACTTAGCAATGCCCTGTCTCAAAATAAAACGTTCCCAAAAAAAGGGGGGGGGGGGGGGGGGTGCTGGGGATGTGGCTCAGTGGTTAAACAACCCTGGGTTCAATACCCAGCACCAAAAAAAAAAAGTAAAGAAAGAAAAACACCTCAGCACAGACCAAGGCATGGTGGCACAAATCTATAATCTCAGCGACTCAGGAGGCTGAGGCAGGATTGTAAATTCAAAGTCAGCCTGGGCAACTTAGTAAGACCCTGTCTCAAAACAAAATATAAAAAGAGCTGTGGATCTAACTCAAAGGCAGAATATTCCTGGGCTCAATCACCAGTAATGCTACTAAAAAAGAAAAAGAACACAATCCAGCACACGCTAGTGATATGCAGTATCTTTATTAAATAAACTTAATTTTCTAATTTATAAGAACAGTTTCCTTAGAGAAATGGCTAGGGCAAGAAAAGGACATGGTCAGTCTAGGACCTCTTTTGGGCCAGAAAGTACAAGTGTTCAGAGACTAATAGAGTTATGTCAAAAGGACAAAGAAACATTTCAAGAAGGCTCTACAGTTGGGACAAAGAAAACAAAAAGGATAACAAAGAGTATGTTTACATTATGTAAAAGCAATGAGCAGTATACTTAAGACTTGTGTACTTATTTGTATATATTTCACTAAAAATAAGCCTCTATAAAAAAGAGAGAAAAGTGACAATACTAGATTTCAACACTGAATTCACTTTGGCTTTTTTTTGTGGTTTGTTTTGCAGTACTGGGGATATAACCCAGGGGTGTTCTACCACTGAGCTACATTCCAGACCTTTTCATTTTTTATTTTGAGACAGGGTCTCTTGAATTTGCCCAGGCTCTCGAACTTATGATCCTCTTGCCTCAGCAAGATGTGTACCACATATGGCCAATTTGTTTCAATTATGACTCTATTAATCAAAAAAGAGAGAGGAGAGAGAGAGCCGGGCCGGTGATGTATGCCTGTAATCCCAGCAGCTTGGGAGGCTGAGACAGGAGGATCACTAATTTAAAGCTAGCCTCGGCAACCACACGGCACTAAGGACCTTAGTGAGACCCTGTCTCTAAATAAAACACAAAACAGGGCTGGAGTTGTGGCTCAGGGGTCAAGTGCCCCTGATTTCAATCCCCAGTACCAAGGGGGAAAAAAAGAGAGAGAACAAAAGGAACAGAATAAAAAAAAATTAAGACTTTTCTTTCAGAATGCCAACAATAAATATAAAGGGAGAGCTGGAGTTGTAGCTCAGTAGAAGAGCACTTGCCTAGCATGTGTGAGGCACTGGGTTCGATTCTCAGCACCATTTTAAATAAATAACATAAAGGTCCATTGACAACTAAAAAATATATTTTGAAACAAAAAATGTAAAGGGAATAATAAAGTTAGAAAACCATCATTTTACAACTTCCAGTATAAAAACTAATGCTGGTAAAATCAGTAATATATAGTAAAACTACTGAATAAAAACTTGGGGGGAGCAATATATTCATAATATCTTAAAGAGTAACCTTCTAATCACCATGGGAGGTGAACTTTTACAGCAGAGATATTATATGCCCAATCTCAGCAGCACCAATAATTAGACAATCTGGCAGTATGTGCCTCCTGATCACAGACACATAATAAAAGGCACACAAATCACACTGTTTTTGCCAAAAATCTTTAAAGGATTGCTCATGAGGTCACAATAAGAAAAGTGTGGACTAGAACATTCTATGGGACAATGTCATGACTACCACTACAAAAAGAGTGAGAGCACCAGAAGCAGTGGTGCTCAACTATAATCCCAGCAACTTGGGAGGGGGCAAGAGGATCACAAGTTCAAGGCCAGCCTCAGCAACTTAGTAAGACCTGTCTCAAAACAAAAAATAAAAAGGCCTAGGGATGTGGCTCAGCAGTAAAGCACTGCTAGGATCAATCCCCGTACCAAAAAAAAAAAAAAAAAACAGAGAGGGACTCCTAAATATTAAGACTACAGAGACTTAATAACCAAATGCAATACACAAATACTGAAATACTGACTGGATGCTGGATTAAAACAAAGCATTTTCAGGACAACTGAGGAAATTTGAAGAAAGACTATAACAGATGATACTACTAACATTACACATAATGTTAATAATGCATTAGCATTGTTAATATTCTAAGTATGATCATTGTGTAGCCATACAATGGTAGAAGAAATGTTCTTGTTCTCTGGAGGTAACTGTTGGCATAATTAGGTACAAAGTCTCATGATATCTGGAATAGCATGAGGGAGAGCTTTGTGGTGATAGAATAGCCCTGTATCTTGACTGTGGTTATATGAATCTACACATGTGATAATATGCCACAGAACTATATATACACATTGTACCCATGTTGATTCCTGGGGTTTTAATAATATACTACAGTTACATGAAATGCAACCACTGGGGAAAACTGAGTGAAGGGGTACATGAGACCTCTGTATACCATTTTTTTGCAACTTCCCATGAATCTATAATCATTTCAAATAATAAAATATTATTCAAATTTTTTAAAAAATCTTAAGTATATGCAGGTGTTTATATCACAGAAGGAGAAGACAACACATAACAGCAAAAATGTGGCAACATGTTAACAATTTGTGAGTATAGATGAAGGATAAAAAATGTTCATGTACCATATTCTTTCAATTTTTCTAGGTTTGAAAATTTTCCAAAACTTTAGAAATTTTTTACAGAATAGTTATTATTAAATAAATAGGGGTAAAACTGGCATACAGGTATGGCAAACTGAGGGTGGAAATGTGGAAAATACCAATAGAGTGCTGCTGTATAAGGTACTGGCATATGCTGTGTTTCATTTAAACCTCACACAACTCTGCTGATAGGGCCAACTTCCCCATTTACAGATGTGGGCTCTGTCCAAGGTTACTCAGTGAGGTGGTGGCAGTGGCAGAAGTGAGCCAGAAGCCAAGTTCAAACCCAGACCTCTTTTCATACCATCATTTTTACCACTGCCTCTCTGCAAAGTTGCTACCAAGAACACTGTCCTCCAAACAAATATTACTAGGGCACAACAGGAACATTACTGGCTTCTGACACTCACTTTTGGTTGGTCAGATACCGATCCCAGCCACGAATAATATTGCCATACATCTGAGTGTCTTCCAGGTAGCTTCCTTCAAAAGCGTAGATCTGTCTCTCCAAGTTTGCCAGTGTTTCCTAGAGATGGAAAAACAAGGTCACGGAAAGTCTTTTTAATGTGGCTATTAAGGATAATATGAAATCCTGATATCAACCTTGTAAAGCCAAGCTCGTCCACACGGACACATTTTTGTGGAGAGAGAGACGATATGGGGAGTGCCAGGTAGTCCAAGCCAAAGACAGTCCAGACCTCTTGGGGATGATGAACCCTTTGGTGAACAGAATGGAATATATAGAGCCTGTCCTCAGAAAAACGCACACACAGGCAAAATTCTGCATATACTCCAAAGGGAAACCTGAGTGTCAAGAACAGGTCTGAGACGGAACGTGGGCAGTCTCCACTCCCACTTACTAAAGGTGTCGCTACCAGGAGAGCCAAGGGTGAGCAGCTTTTCAGCATCCACGGGCTCCCCTCTGCGCGGGCTGCAGTTGCTATGGAAACCTGGAAGGGCAGCTTCAGGTGAGATGAGCCTCCCGGTTGCGCAAGCCAAAGCGGGGGGGGGGGGGGGCAGGGGGGACCGAGCCGCAGGATGCGTGGGACCCTGGGTGCACGTCACAATCCGAATTCCCTAGCCCGGGTCCTCTCCCCTCGCCTGTCACCTTCCAGATGTTCCCAAACACATCACATCCCTGTCCATCAAAATCCCCTGCCACCGCCTCCCAGCACCGAAATGGACTTGCTTTCCCCACCCTCGGCGGCCAGACCGGGCGCCGGGAGACCCTCCCACCGCCGCCTCCCTCCCACCCCGATGCCCACCGAGGCGACGCCCGCGGCCGTAGCCGCGGCCGCCCTCACGCACCGCCAGCCGGCGCCCTCACGGCAGCCCGCCCGGCCTCCGCCCCGCGCCTCCCGCTCCCCGCGGGCTCCGCAGCCCGGGCAGCAGAGCTGCCGGAGGGCCGCGCAGCGCGCTCCGGGCCCCAGCCCGCCGCGCTCGCCCTGGCGTAACCAACGGCCTGCGCGGCGGGCGGCGGCGAGCGCGGGGCCTAGGCCGGTGTCCCGGCCCCAGCCGCTCACCGCCAGCTCCTGCTTCCGCTTCACGAGCTCTGCCAGCTCCCGCCGGGTGTCCGGGATCTGCGGTGGCGCCGCCTTGTTGTGCATCGCCATGTTGGGCTGAGGCGGCGGCGGCGGCGGCGCGAGGCTGGGGGCGGTCCCTGCGCGCCGCCGCCGCCCGCCAGGGGGCGCCCGCCGCACTGCGCCTGCGCGCGCGGCTTCCGGCGCCGCGGGGCGCCCGCGTGCTCCTAGCCCAGCACGCCGCGTGGGGGCAATCGGGCTTCTGCGGCCGCCACACCTGTACCGTGCCAAAGCCAAGAAGCTCCTTAAGCCTCCTAAGAATCTTGTGTGCCCCGTCTCGGTGAATGCCTTTCACTGTTCTCGGAATTACCCGTCAGAACTTGGGTACCATCCTCAATCCACCCTTGATTTAGATCCATCCAAAACCGAGTCCCGTGGACTGCACCCCAGATGACCTCGCAACCCGTTCACCTTTGTCGGCCCCTCTTATCACTTCCTTAGTTCATTCAGGCCCTCCCTATTTGGGCCCCCATTTTCCAAAAGTCTCACACCTCTATCTTTGGCCCCATCCAATCCCTTATCCAGAGTGGTGCCAGGATGATCTTCCAAAAACAAATGTGATGTCCCTCCCTTGGGTAAGGTTTTTAACGGCTTCCCCCTTGTCTTAGAGACACAAATGTGTATAGCAGGTAAGAGCACAAATGGGGGCCGGAACTACCTTGTTCAAGATCTTTCCTCTACATTCGGAAACTGTGCCACCTTGGCAAGGACTAAACTTATCTTATTATAGAACCTACATGATACTGTAAGGAATAAATCGCTTGATGTATGTAAGGGGCTTGGCAAATAAAAAGAATCATGTATTAGTTTTTATCATTAGGTCCAATATTGTTAACGTTGGCCCCATCTAACTTCTCCAGCCCCGTTCTGAATATTTTGCAATTTTGCAACAGGTCTAGGTGGGATTCTATTTTCCTCCCTTGCATGGAAGTTGTTGGGTTTCTTAAATCTGGAAGTTGGTATCTTTCATCAATGCTGGAAAATTCTGTCATTTTTCTTCAAATGCCTATTCATTTTTCTCTCCCCTGTAATTCAGACATAAGAATTTTTTTTTTTAACCAACTGTCTGCATTTTCTTTTTGTCTCTCTGTTACAACAGTCTGGATAATTTGTTTTGTGTCAGTACAATACAACCTGGCATCTTGCTGGTCTCCCTTATTAATTTTGGAGAGAGAGAGAGAGAGAGAGAGAGAGTGTGTGTGTGTGTGTGTGTGTGTGTGTGGTGTGTTCGTTCCTTGACATTTTTTTTCCTTGTAAAGTCATTTCATCTGCAAATAGGAAGTTGATTTTTTTTCCCTTTCCAGTCTGAATGCTTTTTATTTTCCTTTCTGCCTTATTACGCTGAGTAGGAGGACTTTTATATGTACTAAGAGTGATAAAAGTGGACATATTTGCCTTGTTCTTTTTCAAAGGGGAAAAGCAGTCTTTCACCATGAAGTATGTTAGCTGTTAAGAGGTTTTGTAGATGCTCTTTATCAAGGCCAGAAAGTTCTTCTATATGCCTAGAATCACCAATTACCATTGAATATTATCAAGGTGGTTTGTTTTTTTCCTGAATCAGTTGGCATGATCATGTTATTTTTCTTCTGTAGCCTGTTGATACAATGGGTTACAGATTTTTCTTTGTGGGGTACTGCAGATTGAACCTATGACTTCACATATGCTAGGCAAGCCCTCTACCACTGAGCCATATCCCCAGCCCTTTTTGTGGCAGGTCTGGTTAAGTTGCCCAGGCTGGCCTCACATTTGAGATCCTCCTGCCTCAGCCTACCAACTACCTGGGATTATGGTGGCATGTTTTCCTGTGTTTTAAGAAATATAACTGTGAGCTGGGCATGGTGGCTCACATGAGTAATCCCAGCTGCTTGGGAGGCTGAGGCAGGAGGATCGAGAGTTCAAAACAGTCTCAGCAATGGACTCAGTGAGACCGTCTCTAAATAAAATACAAAATAGGGCTGGAGATATGGCTCAGTGGCTGAGTGCCCCTAAGTTCAATCCTCGGTATCCCACCCCCCCAAAAAAAGATAATAAAAATAACTGTGTCTCTGGGGAAAGAATATAGAAATAATTAGAAGATTAGAAAATCCATTCTTATAGAAAGTAATTTCATTTATTTCTATCAGATATCCAAGACACTAACAATACAGGAACATAGTTTGAGTATTCCTAAATTCCCGAGTTGTAAATCCTTAAGAAGATTTTATTCCTGATCTACTCTTTTACTCTGAAAGGTGTATGGTATGACAGTTTTTGTTTAAAAATGAAATATTAGACTCCCCATTATATGTGGACTTTGGGTTTTGATTTCTGTCCCACTCAATGTGAAGTCTGATTTGCTAGAATCAAACATGGTTTTCCTTTAGGTCAAATATGGTTTACATGGCTGGGGTTGAGCAGCAGTGTAGCTCAGTGGTTGAGTACTTACCTAGCATACACCATACCCTCAATGTGATCTCCAACATTGCATCTATACTCCATTTCTTTCTGGATTCTTGTTTTTCTTTTTCTTTTTTTTTTTTTTGTTTCCGGGGATCAAACACAGGTATGCTTAACCACAAGGCACATCCCCAACCCTTAAAAAAGACAGGGCCTCAAACTTGTGATCCTCCTGCCTCAGCCTCCTGAGTTGCTGGGATTACAGACATGGGCCACTATACCTGGCTTTATCTTCACTTTTGACTGTTAACTTTGTGTTTGCTACCAGGGATCAAACCCAGGGTTTCCCACATGCTAGGTAAGCACTCCACCACTAAGCTACATCCCCAGTTTTGTGGTTTTTGGTTTTTTGGGGGGGGAGACAGGGTCTGGCCTCAGCCTCCTGAGTTGCTAGATTATATGCATCACCATGCCTGGCTTGACTGATAAATTTTTTACTAATTTGTCTGTTCTTGGAATCAAGAACTTTTTCTGTTCATATTTTACCTTTAAGTTTTTGCAGGTGGGTTCATCAAAATAATGTAGTTCCATTGTGAAAAGAAACCAGAAGTCTCACTACCTCAATTCCCCTACTGAACTTCAAGTTTTCCCAAAGCCTCCTTTAGCATTTCTAGTGCCATTGCTTGGCTTGTTCTGGGTAACTCCTCATTCTTGTATTCATAAGGCTTCCTTAACCCCAACTTTTCACTTAAACAATCCCCAATGTGTCCTCCATCTATTGATGTATATGGCTGACTCTATGGCTCTGCAAGGGCCAGCCTTTGTACATCTTAACGCTAAAGAATGTGGCATCAGGTGGTCTAGCTACTTGGGATACTGAGATTCACTCATTTGAACCCAGGAGTTGAAGACCAGCCTGGGCAACATACCAAAAGCCCATCTCAGAAAGAAAAGAGTGTTTGAATAATACCAGTACTGCCTACCATTGTATGACCTTAACCTTCTACGCCTCAGTTTTCCCATTTGCAAAATAGAACAATAGTTGAAGCCTGCCTCATCTGAGTTATGAAGATGAATTAAGAGTACATATGAGTTAGTACATGCTTAGCTCTGTACTTATTCATAGAAAGTGCTCCTCAATCCCAGCCAGCTTTATTATTAAAGTCTCAATTGATAGCACTTCTTCCACACTCAATTACTGAAAACTTTTATGAATCAACAAGATCATTTCCAAGTAGCTCCAGCTGTGACTTGGTGATGTAAGTTTGGGGGTGACTTCTCTACCCCCAGAAGTCCCATCTAATCTGATTTCCTTGAGATCCCTGTGAAATGGGCAGCTTAAGGAATCATCTGTCTTCTTTTTATGAAGTTCTGCAGTTGGAAACCAACAGTCCAGAGGAAAGATCACTTGAACCAGGACTGCATGATTTCTCACTATCATTATGGAACTTGAGGCAAACAATGTATAGAATCCTTTCCAAAATCCCCCACTGTGGGTGTTGCTCCCTAGACTGTTCAGGCTCACATAATGCCTTCTTCAGTAGTCCAAAATCAGCCTGTCCTCTAAGGCATATTTCAAATTCCATCTGTTAGTTCAGCTTTGAATCACTGTGACCAAAAGACCTGACAAAAACAACTTAGAGGAAGAAAAGTTTATTTTAGTCCAGTCTATGGTCAGTTCACTCCATAGCCCTAGGCCATAGGTGAGGCAAAGCATCATGATAGAGAGGGTGTGGCAAAAGAAAGCTGATCAGTTCTTGACAGCTAGGAAGCAAAGAGAACTTGCAAGCAAGGAGACAGAGATAATATAACCCCCAAGGGCATGTACCCAGTGACCTTCTTCCTCCAGCCACATCCTAGTTGCCTACAGTTACCATCCATTAAAATTATTAATCCAGCCCCGTATGGTGGCACATGCCTGTAATCCCAGCGGCTTGGGGGCTGAGACAGGAGGATTGCCAGTTCAAAGCCAGCCTCAGCAATGGCGAGGCACTACGCAACTCAGCGAGACCCTATCTTTACATAAAATACAAAATAGGATTGGGATTGTGGCTCAGTGGTTAAATGCCTCTGAGTTCATCCCTAGTACCAAAATATATATATATACACACATATACATATATATATATATATATACACATACACACATACACACACATTCATATATATTAATCCAGCAAATGGTTTAACCCACTGATTAGTTATCTCTCATAATTGAATGATTTCACCTCTGAACATCCCTGCACACAAGCTTTCAGGGAATAACTCATATCCAAACCACACATCATCTTTTCTACAAGATGCAGTTCACCTTCAAATTTTTGCTCCCTGTGTCTGACTCACAGTGATAAACTAATTGCTAGCACACTATGCATCTCCTGATGGGAAATTCATTCAGTATAAACAAATTCACTTCTATTTTTTTAATGAAAAAAAAAACACTTTTTACTTTTTTTTACGTATTTTTGCAGTGCTGAAGATCAAGGTTATGTGCCACCACACAGAGCTGGATTAATAATTTTAATGGATGGTAACTGTAGGCAAGTAGGATGTGGCTGGACGAAGTAGGTCACTGGATACATGCCCTTGGGGGTTATATTATCCCTGGCTCCTTGCTAGGAGTGCTAGGCAAGTGCTCTACCACTGAACTACATCCCCAGCCCTTTTAAATTTTTAAAATTA